GTTGAATACTGAATACTGCATACTGTATAGCGCATTCCAAGACCAAAGTGCATTCTTCATGTCTCTTTACCATTTTCTAACTAATATCTATTGAAACATTTGACTGCAATCTCTTTTTCTTGATAAAAAAAAGCAAAACTAAAATTTTGGATAGCGTGAGTTCACAGTGAAAAATCTCAATAGCTTACTGATATACTTAAGATACTTCAGTTCATTGGTGCCAATTTGGAGAGAGTGTAAGACCGGATCCCACATCTTGTGAGTGTTGTTAAGGAATCCCTAATTGAACTCTTCTATACGCTTGGGCTTCATAGTTTCGCATCTTATAGTGGAAATAAGAATCTTTCTTTGAGTCATAATGTTCCGAAGAAGCGCTTTTAATTTTTTTAGGAACTAGACGCATATCTGCATGAACTCGGGCTTCATAGCAGAAAATCGAACGAATTCTTCGTGAACACTGTCATCCTTTTAGATGGTGAAAAGTCTGTGCAAAATCACGCGTGCTAAAAATGTTGAGGGTGTTAGACTCCATATTATTCATTACTTGAAACAGCGACGAGTCCTTCCTCATATCCGCATAGACTTTGATTTGACGCATGCGCCTTAGGGCTTCGAGGGCGATTTGTGGATGAAGAAAAAAAATAACGAAGCCCAATTTATACCTCAGGCATTCCTTGGAAAGCCCGAGTAATTAAGTATTAATCCTTAAGAACACTTTAAGCGTATTTCAAAGCTATCGAGCTTAATTATATTTATCCAAAATTCGCTTCACAGATCACGGAAGGCGTGAATGTAAAGGAACTTGTATTAAAGTGCACTTAACCCCGATATAACAATATTTTCAGTATCTATTCTACATAAAGTTAATAGTTGAATGGTGAAATATTTCTTCATTTGAATGTTGTGCTATACCCCCAGACATACAAATTGTCTGTAAATTTGTCAATTTTCAACTTGAGTTTTTTCGACCAATATAACATCTGGCATAATGATTCTTTGTACGGTTATTAACGTAAAGGTGCTCTTTTCAGTGCTGGTATNTTGCTGTGCTGTGTGCAGTTATAAAGCACTTGGGGATTGGCAGAACACTCGAGAAGTGTCCAGAAGCACTCCGCTACGCGTCGTGCTTCTCCTAACACTTCTCTTGTGTTCTGCCAACCCCCGCGTGCTTTATGACAGCACACAGCACGCGCGCGCGTTTTCTATTTMTTCAATATAGAATGTAGTGGTAGTGCGTGTGGAGCGAGCCTTCCGCAAGAGCCACTTACGGGAAATAATGGTGGTAAAATATAAACATATTTAATAATATAAACGTACATTTTTTGCAGCTCTTCTTGCACTCCTTGAGCATGTAAGTTGGGTTTTTCTCACATTCTCCTTTACTCGCCCAGTAAGCGCAGTTTTTATCGTTGTCCACACAATCATTGTTGCCTCCGGTTGAACCTAGAAAAGTCGGAAAAGTACTTTATAAATAAGCATCTRAAAGCTAATAATCTTAGTGTGCTTAGCAATAGAGAAAATTAGGAGGAGAATGCATTTTTCATAATTTCAATCTCAAGAGATTTGGAAACCTATTGTTATGTTCTCCAAATTGAGCTG